AGAAAGACAAAGTAGCTGATGTCATAAAAATGCAACAAAAATTTCCAAGAAAGGGGTGACAACATTTAAAAAAAAATTGTGGGAAGGCAAAATTAAGAGGCCATTGACAACTTTAATGAAAGAAAGTTTGATAAAGTGGTGCAGTTGAAAACCATGTTATAATAGGATTAGGGGATACATGGAAAAAATAAGTGAATGGGAGATGAGAAAATTATTCTTTTAAGAAGTTTGGATTGGAAAGAATGAAGGAAAAAGTGAGGCTGTTAGTTGTGATTTGCTGAGAAAGCCTCCTCCTATGGGACCAGAGGAAATATAAGTAAAAAAAAAATATAGGGGAGAAAATAAATAAGTTAAAGTGCATATCTGTAGGCATGTAGGAGGGAGGGGTGATAGAGTTTATGATGAATTGCCTCAATTTTATAATCAAAGAAGGATCCATGATCATCTACCAAGACTCAAGGGAACATGATATTGAGCTGAGGAGGAAGGAAAAGAATACTGAACATTCCACATCGTCCCTGGAGAGGACGTGGCCATCCATACACATGTAAAAGTCTAGACAAGTGGAACTGGAGATCAGAAATGAAGAGTAATGACCCCGAGTAAGGGCTGCAATGACTACAGGTGGCCAGAGGGGAGTGACTGTGGGTGCCCGAGGAAAGGAGTCAGGAACACTGTGGTTTTAGTGAGGTTTCACATAAATGTTGAAATTTCCTAGCAGGAGCTGTGTAAAGGAGGAGACTGCAGCCCTGTGCTGAAGCCCTTGGTGTATATGGAGGAACCAGGACAGGGCAATAAAAGGAAGTGGAAAGCGCATGGTGATGAGACCGAGGGTCATGTGCCTACAAGAAGGAGGAATTTGACAGGAGCAGAGTTGCACTGGGCAGCCAGGAACTGCTAGTTGGTGTTTCTGGGGGCCTACAAGCTCTAAGGTGTGGGCACAGTGTGAGGGCCAGGGGAGCACATCAAAGGGGATGTTCATTAGGAGGAGGAAGCACAGAGTAGCAGGGAATGGGGGTGGCAGAGTCTTCTGGGTGCAGAACCAGGACTAACAGTAATAGCAAGCAGGTTTAGCTATAAGCAAACCTATTCCTGCAGTTTGGGCACAAGTTCCTTCTGTGAGAGTACTCAGCCTTGGAGCACAGTCAGGGTCCTCCTCTGGGGGGCCGTGCTTTGACTTTGGCAGGTGTGTCAGGGGTTGCACACACAGGCTGCACATTGATCATGCATCTGCTGCTGTTCAACATGCCAGTTTCTTAGACCAGTTCAGCTTCCTTCAGACCTCTTAGTCTTTCCCTTAGAGGCAAAGAAACAGAGGTAGACAGAATGAGCTCCTCTCTGCTTGTTCTCTCCTCAAGTGCTTATAATTTCCAGAGCTGGGCTGGACTAGAGTCAGAAACTTGGAATTCAGTGCATGGATGGATGGCAGGGAGCCAACTATTTGCGTCTTCCACACTGCCTCCCAGTGTTTGCATTAGCAGGAAGCTGGAGTCAGGAGCCAGAGTAAGGAATTGAACCCAGGTACTCTCCTAAGGAACGTAGGTATCTTAATGGATGTTTCAACTGCTAAACAGTTGCCCCTGGCTCCTCTCTTGAATTACTTCTATCAGTCTCTGAAGGAGTTAGTGAACTGACTAATATAGTCAAGCATAGTTATTTTTTCTGCTCTTTTACTTAGAAACTCAACACAAGTTGGTGCTTGTATGTGCACTTAGGGGATGTGGTGTGGCTGGGGTTAGCAGTCAGGCCAGCATGGCCGGAATCAGAGTGGATGCACTGAATCTAGTAGACCAAGAAACATGATGTACTGGAGATCAGGCAGCAGCTGACCTCAATCCAGCAGGCCACCCCTGTGGAGTTGTAAGCTGGTGTGCCTCCTTACAGGGCCACGTCAAAAACACAGAGCAATGGACAGAACAACTTGATAGGTCAGCTTCAAAGAGAGCTTGTTTCTGGGACACTTTTTATCTTCTTATATAAATCAAGATGTACCTTTGGTTCATCAGAATTCTTCAGAGAAGCGTAGGACGAGTATCTCTCTCTAGAGTGCGAAGAATGTAAGGTAGAGACTGGAAGAAATTATGCAGAGTCATGCAGCTCATCACCTTTAATTGCACGTTCATGGTCAGTTCATCACCCATATGCATTTTACTGCACTTATATATGCCATTTCACCCCCTACCTTGAAGATTAAGCTTGTTCGAATGGCAGTTTATCTCTTGATCAATCATTTCTGAAGCAAGATGAATTTAAGAACAGCATCAAATCTGCCCACTCTACATCTGAGCCTGGTCACAGTAGTGGAGAAGCTAAGACATTTATCTTCACTAGCTCTGATTAGACCCGTGTCCCTGTGTTACAATAGGCAGGGCTTTCTGCTTGTAAAGCAGACACTCTAATCTCTATTCTCTTACTCTCTTTGTTTGGAGAACAACCTGGGCACCATTATTTGTTTTCAGCAAAATAAGACTTCCCTCAGTCAATTCAAATACTGACTGTTTCCAGATTTTTACAATGCATTCTCTTACACTTGCCGACTGCTATGTATATTTCTGTGGAGGTCAGGAGTCGGAGTGACCACGCCCATTTTGCTACCATCATGGCGTAAACACTCCCATCTGGAAGGGTTCTATGTGACTGGGGAGAGAATCGGGCAAGGAAGAATAGGGAGATGAGTAGAACCAGCCAGTGAGGCTGGTGGTGGAGGAGGAGGCCTCTCAGAGGGCACTCAAGGGAAATGAGCAGAACTGCTGGGTTGAGAGAGGACAGACAGAGAAGCCAGTAACACAGAGATAGCCCAAATAAGCCATGCCAAGAACAGGGCATTGGGGAAAAGGGAGGGAGGAGGACAGAGAAAACTGTCAAGTTACTGGCTTCCAAATTTTAATCGGAGCCCTGGAATAGGAACAGAGAACGTGTGCGACTTTTCTTCACTGATACCTTGGGTTATGTGTAGGCTTAGTCTCTAATTCTCTTTCTTTTCCCATTCCTTCCCTCTCCTCTCCCCCCACTTCCCTTCCCCCCCTCCTCTACTCTTTCATCCTCTCTCTTCTGACATACTGAAACATCTCCATCTTGATGTCATCATCTCCCCAAATCATCCAGAAAGGAAATCGTAATTACTTTTAATGAAGGAGAAATGGAAAGGGAACGTGACCATTGTCCAGGGAAAACTAGATGACAGCCCCAAAACATTGTGTCTCCAGGAAAGCAGCAGAAGGAATATCCGCTGAACACATATGACGTCACCTCACGGAGCTTGGGTGATTTCTTGCAGCTGAGAGCTATTTTTCCAAGATATTATAAGTCAATAAAAAAATAGCATTTTACAAGCACTTTTTCTCCCAGGAATCTTTTGTTCTAAAGTGAGGTGTTTTTTTTTTTTTTTTTAATTTTATCCCCCTTTTTGGTTCTGTTCCAAAGAACACAAAAGCAATCTTCTTTGGGATCTGTCTTTCTTGGGGGCTCCTTGCCAGCCCACCCTACATGTAGATTAAATAGATGGCATCAACAGCTTGGTTGGGAGGCGGAGCAAGTCCGAGAAGAAGGGTCATGCTGTCCTAACACGAGTGTCTGTGTTGGGGGATTTCAGTGTCTGCAGCTTGTCTGCTAGCAGTAGTAACAGCAACGCAAAGTCTGTGAGAGAAATTCCACCCTGTGTCCAGGGGCTGTCTGCCCAGCTGCAGCTGCGGTAGGAGCGCTCCTCTCTCTGGAATGGCAGACCACGGTCCCTGCAGAGTCTGGAGAGTCTCAGGGTCACTGAGCTCCAGTTCCGTGTTTCCACCTGAAAACCCCTCTCAATCGGGACGGGAAGGCTACGTTTGCTCGTGGTAGAGTTTGACATTTCCCGGATGCCAGAGAGCTGAGGGTCTTTGACATTGTAGGAGCTTATAAAGAGACCAAATGCTTGTTTCTTGTTTTATGGGCCGTGTGGCATGTGTTTTTAATAGACCTTTAATTCTGCCCGTGAGTGCAAACGTAATACTGCCTAGTGCTTTAAAGGCCACCAATAAAGATACGTGGTAAGAATAGAAGATAGTAATAGTAGCAGAGGTAGAAATTTTACAAGAGACCAGAATGAGAAATGTATATAGAATTACCATTATTTGCAGTAGCTTTGTGATGTCTATTCTTACCTATAATTTAACTCACTTTTCCTGCTTTAATTTATGCCTCTGGCTGCTATTTCCTTTTTCCTCGTACAAACCAATGACTGCAGAAGCATATGCTGAAAGAGAGATTCAGCTGAACTCCCTGTCCTGTAAGGATCATGCAGAGTGATGAAAAGCACCAGACACTGAGAGCTGGAAAGCCTTCCCTGCTGTAGCCTGGGGCAATTCTCAAGGCTAAAGGATTACTAATATCATTGGGTTTATCTCGAAGAAATAATCTGGGTGTAGAGTGGTGATTTGAAAAAGACATCAAGCACTGAGTATTCATACAGACACAATATTTTAAAAGGGCAAGATAGTATTTCTCTTGGAACAAATATTACAAATATGTACCAATGTAGTTTTTTCTTTTAAAAAAAAGGCTTTAATTTATTTTGAATGTCAGAGTTAGAGAGAAAGAGAGAGTATCTTTGATCTACTGGTTCATTCCCCAGATGGCCATAGCACCCAGTGCTGGACCAAGCTGACACTAGGAGTCAGGAGCTTCATCTGAGTTTCCCACCTGGGTGGCAAGGCCCCAGACACTTGGGCCATCTTCTGCTGCTCTCCCCAGGCCACTAGCAGGAGCTGAATTGGAAGTTGAGCAGCCAGGACACAACACAAACTATCTCCCATAAGGGATCCTGGTGTCGTAAGTGGTGGCTTTATCCTATAAGGCGCAATGCTGGCTCCATAATACCCCTTTTATCCCCTGATCTTCATGACAGATTAATTTCTGCCTCTGCAAAAGGCAATGCTAGTGTTCTCAGAGTCTGATTTGTGCTGGTTCTGCTGTCCTGTAAGTACTGAGCTTTGGCATGACATTTTCTCTTCTTGCTTGCTCCCCAGGGCATATATGAGTGTTAAGGAGCTAAAGGAGACCTTGCAGCTCAACAGCACTCACTTCCTCAATGTCTACTTTGCCACTTCAGTTCGGGAAGACCTTGCAGGTGCTGCTACCTGGCCTTGGGACAAGGAAGCTGTCAGCTATTTGGGTAAGTGAATTGAAGACCAAATTTGTTGTTGTTGGGGGGGGGGGACCCAGGGAGATCTGAGGGGAGTTTATGAATGTGAGTTTGAGGAAAAAAGGAAGAAAGAGAAAAAATAATGGTATGTTAATGAATTAGCTGCTTTGGTCTGAGAATCGCTTTTGAGAAAAATTGTCAAAATGTTTCAAAGTAAACAAGGGGAATTAGAGCAAACAGTGGGAAATATTCAGGATGCATTTATAGTCTAGATGCTGTCATAGAATAAGATTGATTTTAAGTGTTAGAAAACTCTGAGGGGAAAACTATTAAGAAGGTGGCTAGACCGAGACACTTGGTTTATATTAAGAAGGTGGCTAGACCGAGACACTTGGTTTACACTGATCACTCTCTCAGGAGATTGGTGAGCTTCTTGCGTGGATTGGACTCTCACAACAGGTGGGGCTTGCCTTCTCACTAAGGAAGAGCATAAACACCTCAACACTGTGTGTAACTGCTGAGTACTTGTGCAGACTAACCCCTTTTACAGTATCTTACTGTGATAAAAGGATCTTATTGGCCAATGAACAAGGGTCAAAAACTAAGTTTAATAAACATCGACAAAGAAATAATTCCTTATAATTTGCATAGGTTTTAATGAAGTCTTAGAATTCTACCAAAATTTATTTTTGAAATGAATTACCAAAATTCTAAGGGATATTTGCTGTTGGTAAAAATAATTACAAAGGTCAGAAGGAATTTTAGAAATGACTGGAAGAATCAAATGTGAAGCAGGGAGAACAAACGAAGGAAGATCACATAATTCTGTTATCTGTCAAATTGCAGGTGTGATAGAGTCATTGTGAGGTGATGTCTAGAGCATACATTGAACAGACAGAGAAAATGAGCAAAACGTCCAAATAGCTAGTGTGCACTGGGGAAGGCAGAAGATGAGCAGTCGATTCGAAGTAGATGAAAACTTGCTGTTCAACAAGGAACCAAAGCATGGAATCTGTTGTGGAGAGCTGGAGAGTGTATAGATATCAGACCATGGGGAAGAGAATCAAAAGTTAAACATGCGGGGATCCAAGCTAAGATCCTTGCTGCAGGCATGGTTGATTTTCATTGGCTCTGTAGCATCTGGAACAGTTCCAGGGCCCTGCCATCCTCGTGTCCTTAACTTTCTATTTATAGTTCTTAGTCCATGAGAATGAAGAAATCTGTGACCTGAGGCTGCCAAGTCCAGAGAGTTGTATATGGCCATGACTGATTGCCAGCTGTCCCCCAGTGAATCCCTAGGATTTCCAGGGATCTTATGATGAAACAATTAATATATTCAGCTTCATCTGTGATTATTTCAAATGGATCACCAGGGAATGGTGGCTGTCGGGTGGAATGAGGCATTTATAAGTCCCTGTCAAAAGAAAGGGACTTATAAATCAACGAACGCATTATGTAGCTGATAGTTTCAGGAAAAAAAAATACGCAAAGGACTTCCAATAAGGTTGATGGGGGGCATATATAGGTTTCAGTTACTCCTTTCCAAGGTTGACAGGTGAACTGAAGAAGTCTCTTTGCTCCCCAGGTGAAAGCTAACATGAGTCATTCTAGTCTCCATGGTAGCAACAGGTAGACAAGGAGAGCATACAAATAATCCATTTAGTAGTAAAACTAGATGGTAACGGAGTGGGGGTAATACTCTGTGAAAGTACTTCCAAACTGGTGCTCACCAAAACCACCATGGGTAACCTTTTCAGTGCACGTGGGAGGGGTCCTGACAGCAAGCTTCATCCATAAACCTTCATGAGCCCTGGGTATGGCATTGGGAACTGAATCCACTTGGCTAAAACGCTTATAAGGTGATCTTCTTGGCCATCGGGGAGATAAATCTTGGCCTTTTGATGACAGTTATTTGGCTGGAGAATACTACTGCGTATTTTCTACCTTTACTGGGGACTGGGGCCTTGGCAAGAGTCATTCCACTGTAGAAGATTAAGAATAAAACACTTAAAGCATTCACTTACTTGAAGTATCAGACAGTGACCAAGGCACCAAAAATGTGAGGGGCCCAGCCCCAAAGAGAGTAAAAATACATTGAAGCGAGCCTTGTATATAACTCATTTTTTTCTCCTTTCATGGAAATTGCCAAATTCTCCTTAAAAGGAATAGAAACAGAGCAGAAAGCAGCAGCCTAGAGCTTGCTTCAGTCTCACCATGGGGGAGACAAAAACTAGAGTTCCATCTCCCAAGGCACCCAAGGCTTGAAAGAACAAGACCTCATACAGAAGGGACATCACAAAACCACGTGTGCCTGATATTCTGCTGCTCAGAATATCTGTGAATTATTACATTGTGCATTCTCAGGTCAGTGGTACACAAAACAAGTAGGACTGGCCGGTGCTGCGGCTCGCTAGGCTAATCCTCCTCCTGTGGCACCGGCACCCCAGGTTCTAGTCCTGGTCAGGGCGCCAGATTCTGTCCCTGTTGCCCCTCTTCCAGTCCAGCTTTCTGCTGTGGCCTGGGAGTGCAGTAGAGGATGGCCCAAGTCCTTGGGCCCTGTACCCCATGGGAGACCAGGAGAAGCACCTGGCTCCTGCCTTCGGATCAGCATGGTGCGCCGGCCACAGTGGCCATTGGGAGGTGAACAAACAGAAAAGGAAGACCTTTCTCTCTGTCTCTCTCTCACACTGTCCACTCTGCCTGTCAAAAAATAAATAAATAAAAAATAAATAAAACAAGTAGGAAACACCTTCTAAAATATCTAAAAGTTAAACAACAATTTCAGAAGTCTCAAAACAAGGGAGAAGCAGAATTCAGGGACTGGCACTGTGGTTCACTGGGTTAAGCCACTGCCTGTGACTACAGCATCCTGTATCAGCGCTCCAGTTCGAATTCCAGCTGCTCTGCATCCAATCCAGCTGCCGGCTCATGTTCCAGGAAGGCAGCTGGTGATGTCCCAAATACCTGGGCCCCTGCCACCCCATAGGGAGACCTGGGTGAGTTCCTGTTTCTGACTTCAGCCTGGCCCCGCCCTGCTGGCTGTTGTGGCCATTTGACAAGTGAACCAGGGGATTTAAGATTCTATCTCTCTCTGAGTGTGTGTGTGTGTGTGTGTGTGTCCTCCTTTCTCTCTCTTTCACTCTGCCTTTCAAATAAGTAAATAAATATTGAAAAAAGATATCAGAATTGAGTCTCTGTCAAGGAGGAGAGGCTCTGGCACAAGCTGTGTGCAAAGACAGATGGGAACAGTAGCTTACACAAAGCCTGCAATCCAGCTGGAATTTCAGGCCTTGTGTTTAGAGGCAGTTTACCTGCTTATATTCTAACTGTCTAACAAGAGAAAATTAAATATTCTCAGGAGAAAGGCAACATCATTAACTGACTGTAATGGTTTCTTAGTACTCAATAAAAGAATTAACAGCTTTCTCAAAAGACAAGTTCAAATGATGATAAATAAAACAAGTAAACAAACAATAGAAACACACCCAAATTTCATGACACTGGCTTTAAGAAAATTATGGTTAATGTCTTAAAAATAAGAATGAACTGGATAATTTCTTCAGAGAACTGGATTTTCAAATGAATCAAATGGGGCTGGCACAGTGGTGTGGTGGGTTAAGCCTCTGCCTTCAGGGCCAGCATGCCATATGGGTGCCAGTTCAAGTACTGCCTGCTCCAGTTCCAGTCCAGCTCCCTGTGAATATGCCTGGGAGGGCAGTGGAGTGTGGACCAAGTGCATCTGTGTGGGAGACCCAGAAGAAGCTCCTGGCTCATGTCTTTGGCATGGCCTAGCTCCGGCCATTGCGGCCATTTGGAAAGTGAATGAGCAGGTGGAAGACCTTTCTCTCTCTCTCTCTCCTTCTCTCTGTCTGTAACTCTGCCTCTCAAATAAATAAATAAATTTAAAAAATAAAACAAATCAACGGACATTTTAGAACTAAAAGAAATACTAGTGTCTGAACTGAAGAAAATAATAGATGGGTTTTTGCACAGAAGAACAAATTAAAGAACTAGAAAATTATATAAAATTTAAAGGAAGCTAAATATAGATCTTTGTAAAAATTAAGAGTGAATATAGGAGAGAGAGGAGGGAGAAGGCTGGGAGCACAGACGGGAGGGAGGGTATGATGGGAGGAGCCACTATGTTCCTAAATTTGTATATATCAAATGCATGAAGCTTGTTTACCTTAAATAAAATTCCTAAGAAAAGATATTAAAGGCACAGAATTTAAAAAATAGATACTATAGACATAGAATTTTTTCAAAAAAAGAATTTACAGATTGAAGCTCAGAGTGAACATGTGATGGAAAAAGATAGTAAATGGCTTAAAAACACTTGACACTTGATTACAAACTTCTACTGTAAACTAGAGGTTTTTAAAGAAAAGATTTCTTTATTTAGTTGAAAGTCAGAGTTGCACAGAGAGAAAAGGAGAGGTGGGGGTGGGGAGGAGGTCTTCCATCCACTGGTTCACTCCCCAGTTGGCCACAACGGCTGGAGCTGAGCTGATCCGAAGCCAGGAGCAAGGAGATTCTTCCGGGTCTCCCACAGTGGGTGCAGGGGCCCAAAGACTTGGGCCATCTTCTACTGCTTTCCCAGGCCACAGCAGAGAGCTGGATTGGAAGAGGAGCAGCTAGGACTAGAACCAGTGCCTTTATGGGATGCCAGCTCTGCAGGCTGTGGCTTTACCTGCTACACCACAGCACCAGCCCCAGTAAACTAGAGTTTGCATTAGGGGTAAGGGGAAGTTGGGGACAGAACAATATTCAAAGAGATAAAAGACAAGAATTTTGAAAACTTAAAAAAATCAAATTAGAGATTTAAGATGTTTTATAAACCCCAACAGGAAAAACTGAAATAGAATCACACCTAGATGCATTCTTCAGCAAAGATGCTGAAAACAGAAGAAAAGAGATGTCAAAGTAGCTTAGAGAAGGATGGTCGCATTAAAAAGAGCAACAATGAAACTGACATTCTGACATGTATAAATCATAAGACAGCGGATTGGCTTTAAAATATTTATTTGTTG